TTTTTTTTCTGCTTTTAAATGCTTTTTTTGGCTTTATCTTGGATAATAATCATTCTTAAACAAAGATTTATTAACATCTCTTTCATTTACCTGCCTTTCGTTGAGAATTTTATGCTTTTAAAGTGACCAAGAACTTCTATTTGCCACTCAAATGTACTGATTTGCATATTGTGTTTATGGAGATCTCCTTGTTTTGTTTGTTCAATTCATTCGTTTTGATGAAATGCTTATTGGTGAATTTATTTAATGGTTACTGTTTCGAGTAAATGATTGGCACTTTATGGGAACATCGCTTATAAGCTTGGCTTAATCTTTATAAGCTTATAAAAGAATCACATTTGACTCAAAAACGTAAAAAGTGCTGTCACAGTTCAAGAATTATTCAAAGAAATCCTTGATCAAGAACTTGACACAACCGCTTAACAGGCTTGAAATTTAACATGAACATAGTTGATTCGTCTGCCTTTTACAAAACCATGTAAACCATTCCATCAATAGAAGACTCACTTACTAATGATTGACTTATAAGCGATCATAAAAGCACAGAAACCAAACCTAATTGTACGAAAAAATCTGGGGCAAATCCATAATCAAGAAATAAAGAAATTCCCAAACAACTTGGCCGGAATACATGAGCTAAAATTCATACACATATACTAAACTACTGCAGCTTTTTTCAGATGTAAACACTCCATTTCATCACCACACAAATGTCTGAAACTATTGCAAAACTTGCCTTTGACTGATGTGTCAATGATGCGCTGTTCTCAACATAATTAGACGCCATATTGATACGTCCACGACAGTGTTACCGCGAGGAGTCTGGATCAGAACAATATATTCCTCATTCTCGTCCCCAGAGTTCCCGCTCGCATTGTCGCGAGGTGAAAATTAAACCCTTGATTTGATTGCTTAGATTATTGTACTTTCACTAACGCTGGCTTCATTCCCGAAAATATCCACTGGCCCATCTTTAACGAAAACAATTCGAACTGTTATGAGAAAGGTTACCTTATGGCAAGAGCGTCAATGCCGTGAGGTGTTATAGAATTGTTCACTTTGGCGGAATCGAAGGGGAACGTTTTTACCCATGTCACACATACCAACAATTTTTCGTATCATTGATATAAACAAAAAACCCTTCATAGCTGAAATATTATGCCGAATTAGTATACAGGGGAAGCTGCAAGAGAATCTGTTAGAAATTTACAAAATATGGGACCCAAAACTTGCCAATTTTTGGTGAGGGGAGGGGGAACCGTGTTTATCTCTAATTGCCATGGATGGCCTCCTGAATGAAACAGAACTTGTAAGGACGCCTCAAAGTCACAGTACCTTAAGGCTAATAACGTAAAAGTTTATCAGATAGACAGGAAAGCTTTCCTATGTCTTGTGTCTTTCCTATCATGAGATGGCTGGAGTTCACTGTTCCTCTGGAGCAATTTGACCGCAACGAGAATGAAAGGATCGGTCGCTTCTGGATGCGGAAACTCAGCAAACCAACTACCGGGAGGAATGCTCTGCTGTAATTGAGGCTCTAAAAGCTTACTGTAAACATTTAAAGCGGGGAAGGAGGAATTCAGGGACTGGACCGTCCCCGACGGGGTTTATCTCTCTCTCCTTTGACAAAGACATTTCTGTAAGTATACTTTACAAAATATTTTCAGTATTTATTTCGTCCCAGATCCTGCTTTTCTTATGGTCAGCTCAAAGAAAGCGGACTCAGGCTGGTCAGATTGTTTGAATATGCGCAGAGTGCCTATTTTCAATTGTCAGCCAATTAGCAACCAGGAGAAACCATTTATCGTGAACATATGTTTCAAATTGTAACTGGCCACACTCCGAGTTCCTGGTGCTTACCAAAACAGAGAAAGATTTTGGAGACAAGATTTGTGTTTTAGTACATATCGTCATATAAGCAATGAATCAGGCAGAAGTCAAGACTAAGTGTATTTTTTATGATAATTAGCGCTATATAAATTAAATTATTATCATTATTATTATTATTATTATTATTATTATGAAACCCATAGTTATATTTTAACACTATTTCCTACCATTTTAAACTAAATCTAAAAACGTCTGAAGCACGGTAGTCCCGTTACCTGTAAGTGATGGCATGGCATGCATTTTTATTTATTTATTTAATTTTTTATTTTTTGTTTTATTTTTATGTAGGACATTTGGGTCAGATAACGGACTTAGACAAGTGGACAAAAACTAAATGGAAGATTACCATCGACAGGATATCGATCAAGACACCGCATGTGACCCGGCACGGGACATTTGGTGAATATGCCCGACTTATAAGGAACATGTCCATACCAATGTCCTGTGTCGTACCAGTGTTCCACGTGCCGGTAAATGCATGTTAGGCCCATATCAATTGCGCGTAGAAAGTCCCGGATTGCGCATTGCAGTCACCCAGTGCCCGGCGAACATTACTTTCGTCGGCTGCTGACCGCTCGCTACAAGTAACTCAGACTCTAGCATGGCCTTGCCAAACATATCCACTTTCCATCCATTTTTGCACAAAAGAAAACTGCCCCAAGTTTTTCTGCCATCCGTACAGCACTCCGTTCCTCGTTCATCTACAAATTCAAAGCCCGCTGCTTCGAAGTTTGGACGAAACCTTTGAATTGCAGTGTAGTTCTCTGATAGAAATTTGATATCAGCATCACATTCCCATGGTAACACTTTGCTGAACTTAACAGCACCTGAAAAAGAATGAACATTAATGAATGTCGGTTTGCGAATCGACTTAATTCGACACCGGAAGTCGAGTAGTAAAGTTTATCCAGAGCCTCAACACACGAACAGACAAAATGGATAAATGAATAGCACGCCATGTCTCTATCCCTGAGAAAGGTGAATAATAATTAAGCCATTAATTACTAATTATAAGAGGGTCGTAGACCCGAAGTATAATTAGGATTATACGAGAATAAACGAGACGAATATAACAATGTATTCCGCCTTTATTGTGTATTGCCTTTATTGCTTCAAAATAAAACAGCGAAATTCAAAGAATACATCCAAAAAAGGAAAAAACATCAACGTCATAAGGCATCCGGGACCTCACACTGAGAGCCCCTCTATCGCCCAGGGCCACCCCAAAGTATCGCCTTTTTGCTCAGCGACCAAGACCTGAAACAGAACAATAACAATGACATTAGAAAACAAAAGGGGTGGGAAAAAAGGGTGCGGAATACATTGTTATATTCGTCTCGTTTATTCTGGTGTAATCCTAATTATACTTCGGGTCTACGACCCTCTTATAATTGGTAATTATACTTCACCTAAACTCGCCTCATATAACAATGTAAGTTCCAAGCAAGTTTAACGTTTCAACACTGCCCGGCCAGCAGTGGGATCAAACTGGGGTCGATAATAGAATTTCAGGAAGGTACGCTCGCCCGACCAATCAGCCATCTCGAGAATTTGTGCCAAGGTAGCTCCACTTTGGGCTGCGGTAGATGTGGATGCACCACGAATAGAGTGGCACTGAAAAACTGAGGTATCAATTCCAAAGGCTGACAGGACTGAGCGGACCTACCTAGAAACCGTGTTTGTCGAAACTGGTTTGTGGGGAGCTACAAATGACAAGAAGAGTTTGTTGGGGCTTGAAGGGTTTGAGGGCCGCCACTGGGAAGTGCGCGCCTCATATTCCTTCAAGCAGTCTACTGGGCATAAATTCCTCACTTCCACAAAGGCAGGGTGGAAGGACACTTTTAAAGGTTGACCCAAACGAACCACCTTGGTAACTATGGAGTTCCATCCCCGCCAAAAATCAAAGTTGATCACAACATTCAACTTGACAGTCTAACAATTAACTTGGCGAACATCAACATCATATTT